CTTGATCGGACTTGTGACCCACTCAGAATACTGTCCGAATCACCCATCACATGGTTTTTCTTCTTCTTCTTCTTCTTCTGCTTCTTGTTCTTCTTCGTTCCCTCGCCCGCCTGGAGTGATATAGTTCAAAAGCCTCTGCATCTCCTCTGGCTCCTGCAGCTTCAGCTCTCGTCCATCCACCGCATCGATGCGCAAGAGTCCTCCGGTCGGCTCCCCGTGCGTTCCGCATGGCCCGCTCCGTTTCCGTTCGCACTGGGTGAGGCGGAAGGGAAAGCCCCCAGTGTTCAGCCATGCAGATCCACCAAAGAGGCGAGATCAGGAGAACATGGAATTGATGAACTCAATACATGCCTATTATAACTTGTACATTGATAACGTCGTTAAACTTAGCCATAGAAGCCTAGGGTATATATATATAATTATATATATATCTATCATTCCCTAATTATATTTTTGAGCGCTGGTGAAGGATTTCATCTAAGCAAAGACTCAATAACCCTTAGTGTTAACGTTTGTTAACGATCGTCCTCATGCGAAATCCATTGCCAGGACCTACTCCTCCACAAAAGCACCCACTTGACGCCAGAATTCCCTGTTTAGCTCCGGGCGCAGTTTGAACAATGTGCTGGGACAAAGTTCCCGGACATCGCCTGATCAGCTCTTAGTAACTCCCCGTTCCGAGGCAACCAAGGAATCAATGCTCAACTCCTGGGTCCTGGTGATGAACCGAAAAAATCCGTCAACTGGTGTCAAATCTCACACCGCCACACCTTCTTGCACCTTTCTCCCTTTCTTCCCCCCCCATTCTCATGCCATGCGGCGTGCCAGCACCTCTGCATTCTGCGAGCTTGCGAGCACGTGCGCCAGCTGCAGCCTCCGGTCCGCGCGCCGCTGGAGGTTGATCACCAAAGAGCACCACGTCGGACTCGCCGCGCTCGCCGCGGCGCTCGCGCGGAAGCGTGGCCTGGAAAGACCCGGGGGAGCGACTGCCTGGGGTGGTGGACTGGGGCGGTAAGTCCTATGGCAGTCCCATGGGGTCTTTGGGATTGATGACACCAACAAAAAGAAGACATGGATGGAGTCATGAAGAACCAACATGAACCAACCTTACAGAACTAAGGCATAGAAGAATGAATCAATCAACATCAATCAACAAACATCGAAAACAGAACTTGTCACCCTTCCACTCTAGATCTTCTAGACATAGAGGTTGAATGTGAACGTTTTCTATCTCAGCAAGCCTTAAAAGGGTCCACGTCAGCAAAGATACCTTTTTCCTGGCTTCAACTGGGCGCAACCGCAAAACAAACACCCTCCTCGACCAGGACAACACGCTTCAACTCGGGCCCGAACACACTCGTCGCCCAAAAAGCCCCCCAGTCCCCCCAGCACCTGATCTTCCCAACGCTCAGCATCGGCCACAGTGCCCAGCTCGCCGTCACCCAGCGACCGCTGCCGTCCGCGGCGCGGCACCGCCGCGGCGCGCCATGCGACACGGTCCCGCTCGGCGCGGACGCCGTGCGCGACACGGTTCCGCGCAGGTGCCACGGAGCGGAAAGCGGCGGCACAGGCGCGGTCCGAAAGGCCCAGCGGCTCATGCGGAGGATCCGGTGGGATCCGGCTGCATCGGTTGGTTTGGGATTTGTCTTTCCCAAGTGTTCAAGGAGTTTGTGTCTCAAATCGTCATGCAAACCATGCAAAGATTTGGACTGAGCAGTGGTTTCAAGTTTCTGGAAGCAACTTAAGCATGGCGCGCCATGGCTTAGTAGCATGATTGTGATGGAAGGACTGGCTTTCCAAATGTTGGTTGAGGAAATACCTAACATCGGGGTATCACCCAACCTCTGTCTCCGCACCAAGGGGCAACTTTATGTTACGAAAACTCTTATGGAAACAACTTACAGTAATTACAGGCGAACAGAGTACATTCGACATCAAATTGTAAGCTACTACCATCTACTGCCTGTAAAAATGCTCAACCCCATGAAGAAATCAGTTTATTGATATTGATGTTTATTGAGATTGTAAATGATCGTAGCTTCTTCAATTGTCATGAACATTGAAGAACTTTGGTCGACAAACGTCGGTGGCACCAATTCCAACGAAAATAACTACTAAGCGAACATGTAAAACTGTAAAACAGGTAATCTCGTGTTTTCTTGGCATACGAAAACATCTCACTATGAGAAAACATGAGAAAACTGTGTTTCTATACGGCATGTGTTTCCCCTGCGCTTCTAGCGTTTTAGTACAGTCCATTGCTATGCACCACCTTGGAAGCTCTGATACATCATCCCTCTGAGCTGACCTTCAGCCAAATCCCGGATCGGTCCTGTCCGTGTTTTGGAGGGGAAGTTCGTGCGGCTTGAACCGAAAGGATACGCCACCCGTCGATGTCCACCGTTCCGCCTGGACAGACACAAGACCAAACACGACATGGATGAACATGGCTTGGGTCTAGCCTATTACCTGTAAGAGTAGATTATGATGGTTAGGCTGCAGGCCTTGTCCAAAAATAATTGTTTACTGGCTGTTACAGGTAATAGGACAGACCCTAGACATGGCATATCTGTACCTGCATTGCCCGCCATTGTTTCAGGGATCCATGTAGTAAGTGAACCGGCATAGCAATACGTCTATACACCTCAGGTTCGGTGTTTAGACCCTCCTGGCACTCACCCACCCACACCAGTCCCATGTCCCAGCTTCTCAGGTGCGGAAGGTACGACTGGAGGCCTGGGGATCATGATCCGCCTTCTCGAAAACAGCTTGAAGTATGATCATGATCTGCATCGGAAGGTTCCAAAGCCGCTCGGAACAGCCGGTGGCCCAGCAAACATGGTTTCGATGTGGATGGTGCCATGATGCCCCGTGACATCATGCTTGAGACATCTTCTACTTTCGAAACTGGAGACGCGCTTCCAATCTTTGACCTCATGGATCAATGCATTTCTTGGCCTCCTAGGCATCCGGATGCCGAAGGGTCCAGGTGCTTCAGTCCCGTGGGCCCGCCCGCCCCTCCGGCCTTGGCGTGTGCCGTGATCAAGGCACCTGGGGTGATCTACAACCACCGACCCCACACCTCCAAGGTGTAGACCCTCAGGTGTTCAGACCCTCCACCACTTTCTGTACCTCCTCAGGGTGACTGGACCCGAACATGGCACCCGGGCCCCCAGTCCCACCTTCTATAAGAAAGTACGACTGGAGGCCTAGGGCGACTGACTATCGCTAGAGCTCCAGTCGGACACTCTGAGAAGGTGGGTGGGACTGGGGTGGAGCCCTAGGGTATGCATTGTCTCTCCAATCACCACGCGAAATCCGTGCTGCTGGCATAGGGGTAGGACATGGGTAGGACATATATGATGCAATATGAGGAGCAGAATCAGCAAACAAGGCCAGTTGTCCCATGTGTTGACCAAAGTTGTGGCAAGTTGCGTGTCTGGGTACTATTAGCGCTGCGGAGCACACCAAGCACATACCGGGCTAACATGGGCTAACATTCTAAAACTTGTGGGGGTGCTGGCTGTGGAACATGGGACATCAACTTCAGCCATATCAACTGGACAATCAACTGGCCGCTCTCCAAACGAGCGCGCAGCCCTGCGCAGCCCTGCGCAGCCCTGCGCTTCCTCTTTTCCTGCTGCAAACGTCAAGGTCAAGCGCTTGGCCAAACGTCGCATCAACTGAGTCGGGCGTCTGCATGCTGCAGCCGAATCAGAGAAGTACATTCCCCCAAACGATCACAGTTGCCCGTTGCCCCAACCTGGTAGTCAAAGTGTCAATCTTCTCCTAAGGGTGCTTTGATGTGCTTTTGCTTGGAGTTTAGTTTTGTCTTGTAAAATCTTGTGTGACATGTGTTTTCTTTTCGTCGTGATTGTACCGTGGTACTGTGCACTTGGTGAAACAGGTTGGGCAAATGTGTTTGTTCAGGAGAGTGTATTCTACATCATTGGCCCCATTCCACCCATTCCGCCCATTCCCATCTGCCCCATCAACGGTGCCCCCGGTGGTGGAGGCGGAGCAGGAGGAGCCATCCCTGGTCTTCCGGGCCCGTGGGCGGGGATCGTGGGAGAATATCCACACCCGCCACAGCCACAGCTGCCACAATTGCCACAACCACTGCATCCTCCACACCCACCACACCCACCACACCCAACGCCACACCCACCGCCACACCCAACGCCACACCCACCGCCACACCCAACGCCACCTCCGCCTCCACAGCCACCGCCACACCCACCACAGCCACCGCCACACCCACCACACCCAACGCCACCTCCACCTCCACAGCCACACCCGCCACAGCCGCCACAGCCACCGCCACACCCAACGCCACACCCGCCACACCCAACGCCACCTCCACCTCCACAGCCACAACACCCACCTCCACTGCAGCATCCGCCACAAGCCATCGGCATGTGGGAGTTTCGACACTGGTCACCGTAGCGGCACCAGCCCGACCGCTGAAAGAAGGCACAAACGTCGGTCTTCGCCTCAGATCCGCGAAGGGGCGGTGTTCGGGTGGGATAGACGCTGTTCGGGTTTTCCGTGTGTGGATATTCCTTTTGAGCGTCCCCCTCGAGGAAAAGACACACTTCAACCAACCCACCTTCGCCTTCGGCCTATGCAAATGACCACCTTCGCCTTTGGCCTGCCCGCAAATCTTGCAGCCAGACCTTTTGACAGGCTGATTCGTCGCTGAGAGGCAAGGAACACAAAAGGAAGGCTGCCAACAGAAAATGGCTTCCCATCCCTCACTCCAATCAAGGCACTTGTGTTTGAACGTGCTGATGTCTGCAGGTGTCGCCATACTTGCACCAGCCGCTGTTGGCAAAGAACCGGCAAATCTCCTGTTCTTAGGGACTCCACCGGTCCAGCTGGAGCGAGTCGAGGGAGGTGGAGACCATCTTACACGGACTCGTGTGCACCCGACTCGAATTCCAGGTCTCCTCGGCGAACTGCACGGTTCCCAACGTTCGTCCACTTCATGTCACTTCATGTCATCCAGCCTCACAGCTAGTGGACCGGACTGCAGTCCACTTCATGGGATCCGAATCAGCTGTTACCCACTTCATCTGCTTCATCAGGTCCACTTTTTGGAACGGCCCCCCCGCACGTTCAGGCACGTTCCAACCTCCACATCTTCCTCTCTTCCATCTCGAAAACGGTGTGACCATCGGAAGACCTCCCCCTTCGACCGCCTGGGAAGGAACATAGACCAACAAACATCGGGGTCTCTCCCGAAATCAACATACACTCCTCAATTCTTTACCCCTACAAGTCCAAAGACCCAGCAAAACCTGGTCTTTTACCTCCTGAAGTATGGGTTTTGTATGACCATCTCCAGTAAAATGAGGTCTTGGACTTGTAGGATTTGATGCTCCCTTCCAGGAGTCACCTGTTGGGCCTGTCGCGGTGCCCCTGTCACATCCACTCACCTGGGGACCCCAAAAAACCACCCCACCCAACTTCAGGTGACTCCCTGACTCCAAGAAACCCACCAAACCGCCCCTTTGCCCCTCCGCCCTCCCCTTGCCCCTCCCGCCTGCTCCGCGCTGCTCGCGCCGGCGCCCGCGCCCGCGCCCATCCACTCGCCGCCGCCGCGGAACTCGAAGCCCTCGGCCGTGCACGTCTCGTGGAGCTCGGGCCCCGGAGGGGTGAAGGCGTCGTCGACCGGCAGCAGCTCGCTACAGACCTCGCTCCAGGCCCGGCGAGCGTTTTCGGGACCGAATAGGATCCCCGGGACCTTTCGGGACCTTCGGGATGGCGGGGGGGGTCATGCCCAAAACAAGACAACCGGATTGGAATTGGGACGGTGGGACTGGAAGATTTGGCCGCCGCCCCATGCTTTTGGTGAATCAGTTGGGGTGGCTGACCTGGGGTCATGACGTCAGGTAGATATAGGTAGATATTCCAGTCCCATGCAGTATCTGTGGGATATGAATTCATTTGGGCCCGATAGTGGATTCCTTGGAGGTTGGATGTTTACATTCACCACCCCTGGCACCGGGGGCCCTTATGTATAGAGCACCCAAAGAGGCGCCGAAGATGTCCAAAGCTCCAAAAAACATGTCAATCAGGCACCACCGCACACAATGTCTTTCCTTGTATTTTGGACCGTTGGCGCCACCATCTTCGATTTGTCAACGATGTGGCGTTCAAATCTGCGCCGGGGCGCTGGGACGTTGGCTTTGTCCAGCGGGGCTCGTGCGAAGGCCGCCGGCATGGAGGTGAGGTAGCAATTGAAGGCCACCTTGCAGCCTTCCAGTGTCACAGTGGGAGGGATTGCTTGTTGGTTCCACTTCTGGAAGTTGGAGGTTAGCAAGGATTGAATCAATATATCATCGTGAGATAGAGAAAAAATGGCGCAGCAACCACGAGTTCTAGGATGGAGAGTCCCTACTTTCTTGCGAAAGCTGGGAATCCACAAAGGATTGCTGCACGCGTGCACGTGAGGCAAACTGGGAAAAACAGCACAACTGGAAAACAACATCTTAGTCTTTGCCTAGCGATTTGCAATGGTAGCCACAGCCGACCCGAAGCTCTGGATTTGAGTGTTGGGAGCCACTATGAACCACTGGAATAAGCCTCTTCAGCAAGGCTCCATCACTAGCTTCGTCATACTCTCGACTCTTAGTCTTGCTTAATAAACCATAATAAACCCTCCCTGTTGAATTGAAAAACCTGTCATATAAGTCATATATGGCTATATACTGTAATATATTGGGGGTTTATCAATCAAAAGTCTACATTACTCATCCAATTTCTCAGGATCACCAGATGCGGCGTTTCGAAAACGCTCTGACCCGGATCGCCTGACGTCAGTGTCTGTGCCATGGAAGGGCTCACATAGACTTCACGGCCCAGGACTTGCGTGACCTTGAACTGGGAAACTGCGTGACCCTAGGGATCCGTGGATCCACCTTCTGAGGTTCCGGTGAGGACGGAAGACTATAGTCATGAAGGGGCGCCCAGCCAGTCGGGTCCCAAGTCGTACCCGAACCGGCTGGTCGGTTCGGTGGCAGTGGATCAGGAGATCGAGTGCGACATCCAGGGCGATTGACCCGAGGGTACGACATCCAACATTGAACAGCAAAGTGAATACGACAAAATGTATCTTAGATTGTGTATATAGGTGAGGTTGCTGATTGCTGGCCGCCATCTCTAAACTAATGATCATTGTTTACCGACTTGTTGCAAGGTAATAGGACAAACCCAATATCTAGATGTATAGCAGCCAGTGAAGCAGTAGAATCTCTGAAATTCCACTCTCGTGCTTCAGGTCACGGCCACTTCCGACTCATGGACTGGTGGCTGTCGATCAATCGGTTTTCTCTTGGATGGGGGGGATGGCGTATCGAGCCCCGACAGGTCGGGCGATGGCATCCAGCAGCATCCAGCGGCACCCGACCGGGCGCCGAGCACGGCGGCGGTCGTTCGAACACTCGGGGGTCATTCTTGGGGGGGTTCCTGAAACGTGAAACAGGTTCCAAATGTTTCGTGGCATGTTTGGGGCCTGTGCTGAAGGGAGTGAAGAAAAAAGGGTTCTGAAATGTTCTGAAGGGGTAAAGCCCCACTAGAAACTGTGGGGATCCATATGCATGGATCCATCACCAAGCCTTCAACTTGGTGTGTTCCTTCGCCCTCCTTCAGGGCTGCCCTTGCCCACATGGACTGTGGCACACTGTGGGACCTCGCCTCAGCACACTCAATGAAGCCAGCCTTGCTGTCTTCCTGCAGCTTCAGTCGTCCTGCCCAAAACGTCCCAAGGATTCGACCATCCATGGGACTGGCATATTTGCCGATCAGGCCAGGGGTGGTGCCAGGGGGGTCAATGTAGGCATATATTCCATTCATGGACGGTCCGGGCAAGGATTCGGTCACAATTTTGGGGGATCCCATCACATCATCTCCCATTAATTATCTCATCACTCCAGCATGGTCAAACAGTGCTGGTATGGGTTTCCTTCGGGACACCGTGAGCGGTGTTCCAAGTGCCAAAATCAGCTTTTGGACGGTCAGGTGGCTTTGGAGATGGGATGCAGTTTCCCGCAGAATTTCGACTGCTCTGGTTCTACACGACCAATGGGATCAGCAACACCCCCCCCTCTCGCACAGGGATCACACAGTTTCACACCCCTCTTGCACAGGGGTCATACAGTTTCACACCTGTTCACACCAGGCGCCTGTGTGTGCATAGCTCTTCTTGGCCGCAATTCCTCAGGGCCAAACTGCCCATTGGCGAGGTGTTTCTGGGATGTGAGGTGTTTCTGGAAGTTGGCGAAAAGTTGGGGTGTTCTGAATTAAAGGTACCAGTACTCTGCAGGATCTTGTAGATCAAGATCTTCCTAGACATTCTAGATCCAGACTCGTGCTCAAACACTGGTTGCTCAAGAAAAAGACGGGACCCTTTGGTGAAGAGGCGGTGTCACGTGATGCGTCTGCTGGCTCAACCCGAGACGCGGATCAAGGGCGATGAGGCTTGCGGTTGCCCCTTGGGCGACCAATGCAGGGGAAATGCCAAGGCGTCGCCCACCGCCGCCTGGCCCCGTTCCAAGACGTCCTGGAGGCCGCATCCCAGCAACCCTGCAGTGAGTACTCGGTCAGTGGAGAGTAGCATCAAGCCATCCTAAAGGATCTAAAACATGCCATCACGCCTACCCAACCATCCATGTAGTTGTATATAGCATATTGACCTACATTTGGGGTGGTTTCATATGTGTATTTTGTAAATATAGTGTTGAATACCATGTAGACTCTTGTATGTCTATTAACGATCTTGTATATTCACTACAATGTACTACCGTAATATACGTTATATTATATATACTGCATTATATCCCAAACACTCCATGGGACTGCAATATATGCCTACATTGGGGTGGTGCCAGAGGGGTCAATTGATGCGAATATATGGCAGTCCCATGGGTCGTGTCTGGGTATATATATATAATTGGGGATATGTCGTTCAGCCAGGGCTCCCTAGTCCAGCATATATTCCCTAGGGCTCCAACTACCTCCGTTTTCGAAGATGGTTGGGGTGGGTGCCAGGGGGGTCTAACCACCGAACCTGAGGATATGGGTCAGGAGCCCTATAGGGATTCATATATTAACTAATTAATTCATATGAATTCCATATTTTGCATACTCGTCCCACGGAGTGGGTCAGGACGAAGACTCGTGGACCCGTCACAAACTGCCAGTCCGCGAGACGGCGCCACCGCCGGTCGTTCGCTGAGGTGGGCCAAACATCTCCAGTCCTTGAACGCATAGATCTCCATCTTGCCAACATCCGCCTGAGGCGAGTGTGTTTCCTTCACAGAAAGGAACCAAAGGAAACAAAGGGGTAAATCTTGCTCACACTGCTTGCTGCAGTAGATCTTTGGGTCATCTGTCATCTGAGGTGGGCTGTTCCGTTCTACATACGTCACCGGTGCTCTGAAGGAGTTCACTTCTTTTGCAGCACTGGGTGACCTTGCACTCCAATGCCCCAAAAGCAAGGACCTCTGATCCTGGAGAGCAAGTTGAAAAGTATTATCACCTGGTTCTCCCACCCCAAAAAGCACAAGGGTCATTGGAACCTTTGAGACCACAAAGCGGGCAAAGACTTCCTTTCGTGTGTAGAAGCTCTACAACAATCCATTTAATGGATTGATTCAAGACATCATCTACAGGAAACCTCGGTGTTCACCCCCAAACGCTTTGCTGGAAATTCCGGCATCTGCGAGATGCCCATCCATCCCTCATCCTCGGTGTACGCCCAGCACGTTGATACACGCATCGCTCCAGAGGAAAACAAGAACACATCAAACGAACCAAATCATCCAATGGGTGTCCAATGGAGATCCAGTCTCGTCTGGGGTGCTACCCCCCAAACGGACACCCAAACCAGGACGGTCCCGAAAAACACCCATTTTCATCGTGCTTTCCTCGGCGTCGGGGGAGTAGATGTAGCCGCACTTCCGCTGGGCATCGAAGTGCTTCAAAATGCCACAGTAGAGTTTCCTGAAGAGGTGCGATTCAGAGCGTCGTTTGTTTCGACCAGCTGGAGACCGAATCATAGCACTGGGTGGGTGGTAGATGTGGCTAGCGGCATCGTGGTAGATGGCGCGGCTAGGCCAATGCTGTATGATGCTAGGATCTGACCAAAGGCACTTCTCCCTTTTGGTCTGTCCAGTTTTTGTACCTTTCATGGTACAACAGAACCAAATGCGTGGGCACGCAAACCTGCTACAGGACTTTGCCAAGCGGCATGGTGGTCGTCACCTGAGTCTTCTCCTGAAGTCAGCTCACAAGCACACCCACCTAGAAATGCATGTGGAACCCCTGAAGCCTGGCTAGGAAGTTTTTGTGGGACGTGGTCTTCCCATGTCTTCTCAAACCGCAGGAACTTCTGAGGGAGCTTGATCATCGAATCTGAAGGTCAATTGCTCCAAGCAGCGGAGTGAAACAGGGGTTGCTCTTTGGCTTCCATCTGCACATTCCCAACCTTTCCAAACAGCAACCAGCCAACACCCCTATAGACAGCCAGAAACGGAACCTCGACCAATGAACCGTCGCAAATCGTTATACTTTGTACTGTAGTCAGTAGTCATCTGTAGTCTGCTTATGAATGTTCAAGATCCACCGATCTCCACCGTTACCCATCTGACAAGCGCACCAAAGTGGACCTCTCTACTCTTTACAATTCTCATGAAGTCGCCCCCCTCGCCATGCCACTTGCCATCTCCATGTCTCCGTGTCTCCACTCGCACCGTGCGGAACGGGCCGGGGTCGCCCGCCCCACGCCAAACCGCCGGACGCCCCGGACGCCCCGGACGCCGCCCCGCGCCGATCGGCTCCTTGGAGTGGTCCTTCCACTGGAAGAACTCAATAAAGCGCCCTCCCAGCGTCGCGCGCTGCTTCTCCTGGAAGCGGCGGAAGCTGCGGCGGCGCGATGCGGACGAAACAAATATCCGCCGGAGAACGCGACAGTCGTGGGGTCGAGACAAAGTCTAGTTGGGACGAGGTTTCTGGGAAGACAGCACCCGCTGATGGTCTCATGTAGTAACAAAACATCAAACGCAAGTCAGGACTGTCAGGACTTATAAAAAGTAGCAAACAAATCAACATCCATTCCAAGATTGATATGCTGCATGATTGAAATGATAAGCCTGGCTATGTCTGGCTGATGCTTTGGGGATCACTTCATCACTAGTCACTCTAGCGGTTGCATGACGGCGGCAAGCGCAGCTGCCCTAACAACACTTTTCCTCTCGAGTTGTTCGAAGAGGACACTTTGGTCTGCGCAAAAGTAATAACTTCACAAAAAGTGAAGGAACACGACTGCGTTCAAAAGGCAATCGCACAAGTCCACTCGAGACTCTGCCAACAATTCGAAGAGTTGTTGTTAGTTCCCTAAGCCAGGACTTCAAGCAACTCTTGAGCTTTCTGGTTGGCTTCTTTCAAAGTGCTAGCAAAAGTGTAAAGCCAGCCCAAACAAAATTCTCCATCTACTTCGTAGGGCTGCGCCAAGGGACAAAAGAACCTTTGGGACTCTTTCATTTGATCAAGCATCTCACGCGCTCGATGTGTGTCGCCATCTTTGACCCAAACGTAATGCATGGCGCCAGCCGAAGCCGCTGTGGCTGCAAAAAGCTGAGTAGAACTCGGTGGCATTTGATGTACGTAATGCTCGTGCCTCAATCTTCGATAGATCGGCTCAACATTGGGATGCTTGCGAAAGTTCACCTCCATGACCGCGATGAAGGGTTTTTCCTGGACTTCATCCACAAACATTTCCACGTCTATTTCATGATCGCTCACTTGGAAATCGAACGCCAAGCCCTTCACAATCTGATCATAGTATTGCCAAATGGCATCCTGTAGATGCGCTGGAAGAGAGGAAGGGAACGACTGGCTGTGGAATTTGAGATCGTTTCCTGTGATATAATGATTCTCAGATATGCCAACATGTTGGATCCTTTGCTCCCGGTCGATCAAGCCATCCACACTCACCCGTGTGATGCTGATTGGAATGTATTCTTCGCAAATCGTTTCGATGCTTTGAGTGGATTCGATCTCAGGAATGCACAAGCCCAACTGGCGGTAAATCTGCTGTGGGATGCTTTGGGAAGCAGTCCCAGCTGAACCATTCGGTCGCTTGTCGTGGGCATGAAGGGTCTGAATACCCAAAGACGCCGTGCCATGGATCGGCTTCAGGATGGTCTTGGTGCCAAATGCGGAGTGCAAATCTGGAACACTGAGCTCATCACTCAAACACTTGAATTTCAAAGGGTCTCCGACTTTCTGTAGCCAAAGTCTTGTGGCTGCCTTATTGAAGGACAGCAGCAAAGCGGGCAAATTGATGCCCGCAAAGGCCTCCAAGTCTGGTCGCACATGATAGCAATAGCCTTGCATCAGGGCTGGAACATCGCCATAGCCATAGACCCGCCCAACAGCCTCTCGCTCGACTAAGTCGATGATTTTGAGGCTTTCTTCGTGCCAATCCTCCATGTTGGCAGCTCCAACTTGCACCAAAATATAGTCTTCCAGCATGAGTCCTTCTTTAATGTAGGCATGGTTGGTGCGGCTGGTGCCCAGGATTAGTATTTTGGCCGAGCAACTGGTATTCATCGCTGATTGAGAGCCGATGGACATGTGTGAGATCGGAATGGTGTCATTTGACTTTCTGAGTTTCCATGACGGTTTGCACCGTTCTTACCCAAAAATCTTGTGGATGATAAAATGACTGCAAATACTAATTGCACTCCTACTTGACTTGCTGATGTCCTGAGTATAGTCACAGTTCAACCACTTCTGATCATGCGCGTAACTTGGCTGCGTTGGCTGCGTCAACATCATCTCCTCACGTTGCCTAGCCCTGCAACCCCGGCTGACAAACTTTAATACCTGGCCTGGACCTCCAAGGTGTCCCATCAAGATCTCCATGAGTCATGTAGGCGGGGCTTCCATTGGTGACTGAACCCTTGGAAGGCTTGGTCAACAGGAGATGTCCATTGAAGTCAACACATATCCTTCAAATCCATGGGAAGTCCGTCAAGCACCGTCGAGTCTCCAATCAGGTGGTCACCAACTTTCCCATCGGCCAGAGAGTTGTTTTCTCCCTAAACCCATAAAAAACACGCCCTTCACACCAGAGCTGGCCTGGAGCACTTTCTTGGAGATGTCCTTACTTGGGAACACTACCTGAGTCGTTGAGGGATCAAGAAACCCAGCAGGTTGAGGTGATCCAGCAGGTTGAGGGACGCGTCGCGAAGTGAAGCGAAGCAAGCTGGGCCCCCAAGGACGCCGAACACATCGCTGTCCAACATCAGTAACATCACGCGTTTGGGTGATCCGTGTCCACATCCCCTCCTTTGAGGGTTTAAGAAGTGGAAAGAGGCGCCAGGAAGAAGTGGTAACATGTCAGATCTTTTGAGAAAGGCTCCGTTCTTTTCGTCGCGTTCGACGTTCGTCGCGTTCTTGTTCTGACTGGAGGTCCCTTTCGGCCTTTCTCCGGATTTCGTCCCGGCTCTGTCGGGCCCTCTATATCCTTAGGTCGTTCGGTCCAAGAAAGGCGGAGATAGCGAGGCCAAGCACGTGGAGTGAACGACTCACCGAGGTTGGTTGGTCTTCGGACGTGGACGTAGACCGGCGCTCGCGACTGGCGCCCAAGGAGCCCAAGCATGTCCGTCTTGTCGCCCTGACTCGGTGACGCACCTGGTGTTCCAGCAGAGGTTGAAGAACCCGAACTAGACTATCCTAGTTCGGTACCCCTGTAGGGAGGTTGATTTACGGTCACTCAACCTCTGTAGGTTTCTTTCGGCTTCTTCCGAGCGAGTAGATGCCATCCTGGAACCCCAAACAACCAGAAAGAAATGGATGTTTCCCCAAACAACAATTTCCTATGTAAAGGCTTTCAATTGCCATATTGGAACAACCATGTGTTTCTGGTTGTTTGGGGTTCCAGGATGGAGTGTATGCCATGTAGAGTGTGGATCCAGCCATGGCGGTGTGGTTTGAGAGGGGGTTCAGGGTGCGTGAGATGGCACATGATGGCACAAACAACATTTACTTAAGTCCATGGTGGTCCATATCTGAACCACTTTTTTGGGGGCGGGGATGTGCCATCGGCTCTGAAAACGCTGAGGTTTTCGGAGTAATTTCTGCAGGCTTTCTCGGTCAGTCGGTCTATGCTTCTGCTTTAAGCAAGTAGCCACTTGAGGTACGACTCTAGGTCGACATCAGCAGGGGAACTGCCGCAGATTCTGGGCTTGGCCATCGGATTCACCTGAAAAATAGATCGTTTGGTTGAGGGTCCCCCTCCAACAAAAACGTATAAAACAGATTCGTGGGCTCAAGTGACTCAAGGGCCCAAGATGGCCCTTTGATTTCTGGAGCTTTGCCAAGCATCCTCTAGTGTGGGATTTGAAACAGGAGTGATGAGGGCAACCTGTGGCAACCGTGTTCCATGATGTTACATTTATGCCTTTCTCTTCGTTAGCTCGTCCTTGCTTCATCTTGCTCCATGGTTTCTTTAGATGACTTTAGCCAGCCTAAATAGCTTTGATCTTGATCAAGAACGTCCATCAAACCTCCTTGTTCAAACTGCCTCACAAACGGCACCGAATCCACCTCACAAACTGCCATGGTCGAAATTGGTCAAAGGCACATCGTGACGTCCTTTTCTTTAACTCCATACCTCAAGCGCCGCCGAAAAAGACCAACACGCCCCGTGTGCCCGACCCTGTCAAAACCCGACGAACGGTTTAACACATATGTAAACAGTAGACGGGCTCCTCAAGCCCTCCCTCAGAGGAAAAATGCCTTGAACTATCTTGAACTGCCTTGGGGTCGTATTTGGGGGGCTGAATGTATGTCATACCAGGCTCAACATGAGCACAAACAGCCGGCGAGGCCAACCAACCAGGGTTTGGTGGTGCCACGTTTTGACCCACAGGCAGTCTCCCAGTGCTCGGAGCAGTCTTAGATTCTAAGGCTGGTGAAAAAGAGTCATTGCAGGGCTCCAAGTGTCCCAAAGATTTCCAAGAGTTGGCATTTGGAATCCACTCCTACATTTGGCCTTCGGAAGATGGACAATGGGCCCCGGGGAACATGCCATCCACCTCCTGGTCCTCTGGTCCTCTGTGGCCCTTGGGGGTTCCATCGTGTTTCATCCATCTTCAAGCCCAGCCCACACTCTGGTCCTCCTCCTCCTCCTCGAAGAGGTTTAGTAGCGTCGACACATGTCGACCAATGTAGACTCTTGAGGACCATAAACCCTTCCATTTGAATTGGAAGTCCTCTTCATATATGGGGGGTTTATTAATCAAGAGTCTACATTACTGCGGGCGAACATCATTGGATCGAAGCCGTGATGGACATCATGATCGATTGACAAATCTTGCATAATTCGACCTCCACAATCCTCCGCGCCCAGTCAAAGAAGTGACCCTGAATCCAAACTATCACCTTGCCCTTCATTCCAGCTCATCTCCCAAAAAAAAACAACACATTTCATCCCCCTTGCAATTCGGCCTCCCTCTGGGACTGTCTGATTCTTTAGGAGGCCACCTGCCACCTGCCACCTTAAAGAATCCTCAATCCACAGTGCCCATACCAACATGTCAGCTTAAAGAATCAGGACTCTGCCAACACATACTGGGCACTGGCCCTAAAAAATCAGAACACGTTGAGCACAGTGTGCACACACCTGTGGCACCCGCACTCCACCTAAAGAATCAGAACACCAGGCTGAAAGATGCGAGCGTGTGGCAAAAAGTGCACCTCTAAAGAATCACACTCCGTTGCCACTCTAAAATATGCATGGTGAACTCTAAAGAATGGCCTGCTTTTTGACAACCCGGGCTGGCTGATTTCCTTAGAGGAAATTGCAAGGGGGATCACATTTTCATGTTTCTTCCCCCTTCAAAGTAGGTCCTTCATCACTCACACATGCGAGTCCCACGGACCTGTGCCGGTCTGAAGGACCTCCGAACCGGTGCCGCACGTGCGCCGTGCGCCGTGCCGGTGCCGTGTGCCGTTGGAGGCGCTCGTGGAGGAATTGGGCGATCTCCGCCGGCCCGGCCGACCAGGGTAGGCCACGCAGCCGCAGCACGTCTCCTCCTGCAGTGATGCGCCGGGCGCCCGCCCAGCCGAGAACCGACGAACGAAGCCGGGTTAGTGTTCTGAACGGCACGGCACGAAACCCGCTGTCTGAGGCTGACGTCAGGAAACAGGAAACCCTCCAAACACCAGGGCCCTGAAATCAGGGAGTTCTTATGAACTCTGGGAAGGGGATGGAAGGGGTGCAGTATCTAGGAACCACCCGGAATGAGGAAACGTTTTGCCTTCAAGGGAGACTCCTTAAGATTCACTGCTCCTTCCAAATGAGTCATCACCAGTCACTTACGTGAGCATCAGCTCTCATCCGCTTCGCTCCGTTCAAGCTCGACCGAATCGGCTCCGGCTTCGACCACCTGCCTGGCGGTGCCACAGGCGCCTTCTTTCGATCGACCTCGCTCGCACTCGCTCTGCTCGGCTCGAGAGGAAGGATGAAAAGGAAAGCATCACTGAAACATCCTCCAGGAGTCACCCAGGAGTCACATGGAGTTGGGGTGGTGTGGCTCGTCCCATCAAGTGAGTGGATAGTACGTAGCTGGGCACCCCGACTACCTCCATGGATAGCACCCCGTCTTGTGACTGCTGGCTTCTGTATTTCGCGGTTTGCTCTCCAAGCCGAGCTCATCTGGTTGGTGTTTTCAACCCACTTGAAACATATATGAGTCAGAGGGTCCTTCTTCATCCCCAAGTACGGGTTGAATATAACATATCCGAAACCATCGCCTAGTCATGTTTTAGCATCCACCAGTGATGAGATGTGCATGTCCAACAAAATTCATGTGCCCTTCCAGTACAGTACCATGTACATCCATGTTCCATATGATGTTCTATGCCTCATATGCGTTTCACTGGTGACGTGGCCGTGGCCGTTTTCTGCAAACAGCCTGAGCCTGTCAACCAGTCCGGGAAGCCCATTCGCCTTGTCGTTGCGCTCCGAAGAGCGCTCATTCTGAGCTGCTGCTTTGCTGCTCACCTGAGCTGATCCCGGATCGGCGCGCCGTGCCGGTACCGAGGATCGGGTCGGCCAGACGGCCACAGGCCGTCGAAGCGAACCGTGAGAAGCGAAGCTTAAACAAAGTCCAAACACTCCATGGGACTGCCATATATGCCTACATTGGGGTGGTGCCAGGAGGGTGAATGTAGGCTTCTATGGCAGTCCCATGGAGTGTCTGGGAAGTGGACCGGTCTTCAAAACGAAGACAGGCCGGCCCTTTCAGGCCACGAACGCAGAACGGGAACGGCCGCTGGTAGCCAGGGTGGTGGTGAAACCGACGTCCGTATGTTTGGAAGCGATTGGCCAGCAGGTTCCATCGTGGAAGCGCTTTCTTTGAGGCATTCTCCCCTTCCTTCGACACTCCGCAGTCTTCCCTCGATCTCCCCCCTTCTAAAGACTCGAAACGGCTACACCAATCCTCCACAGAAACCGCACGGCGATTCGTGTCATCGTTCAATACCACCACGGACGACAGGCTCGTTTTCGGGCGCGGTGTCGTCGATCCGGGGTCGATCATGTCCAAAGAGATGGGTTTGGCATATCTGCTTGGGCTGCTTGGTGTTCCAGTCTTCTTTAAGGAACGGATGTAGTCACTGTAGTCACTACAAGAGCCTCCTGTCTGGGTGTCCTGGCTGGACTACCCTACACTACTTAGACTATACTACTATCCGGGATCTCCAGCCAGGACACCCAAACAGGGATGGTTGACTTCGGAGCAGGATGACCTGTCCAAGGCTCCATGGCTTGCGCTTCCTTCAGCTGCTGCGACAGGTCCGAGCCGCTCGGCGCCGTCGCCGCGCCCACGCCTGTAGCTGTAGCAGGTCATGCACCCTCCTGTAGAGGTAGGCTGCGACATGGAGCCATTATCCTCCCCCAAGAAAAAAACGTGCTCCCGTATACTGTAGAAGATTCAGAACACCTTCTCCACGACTCCCGAATCCGCCTGCCCAAGCGGAAGGATCAAAGCCCGGCATGGAAGCGATCCTGAGATGGGGCAGTCGTCGGCCAAGCTGGTCAAGCTGACCAAGCCCTCGAATGCTGGACGATGAGTCCAATCAAGATCCATCTGGCATATTCTTTGGAGGGCCGGATCGTGGGGTTTTAAACCAGAACAAAGGGCATGTTCAAAAATTCAGGAATGTTCAGGATCCCCCCACATGTGTCACACAATATTCAGATGCGACATCGATCCCGATACCTTCTTTGCCCTGCGTCATCGGTGCTTTTGGTGTTCCCCGCGAGGCGGGGGCCCCCAGTTGGCAAGGTGCAAGTCTTTGATGCTGCAGCGTGCCGGCAACCCCTTCCTTCATCTTGCCAAGCACCTCGCCCCGCGTATTCTACGTTTGTTATGGTGTAATGGTCTCAACCGGAATGGCCAAGAACCCCATCGCTGTAAGAAAGCAGTTGGGACTCCACAGGTCGCGCTTGCCGGGTCGGACTCTACAGGTACTAAAGGCCTATAGGGTCTACAGTCCTCCACCCGACCGCCGTCCCTCCCCATCCCCGTTCCTGACCGTCCCTCCTCACGGTGTAAACGACCGCTCTCCCGTGCTCCCGCGCTCGCTCGGTGCCCCAAGCGTCAGCGACGCGGTGGTCAGGTCCAAGGCCGGGATCGCCATGCCTCGTCGGATGAGGCGCGAGGCGCGAGGTGAGGCGCGAGGGTGCAGTGATGGCAATTGGAGTCTGAGCATCCTGCGAGCTTGGGTTGATTTACAGTAATGGATCAAGGATTGAGAGCCCGGTTCTTTTGGAGACCGATGACAAAGGATGCAACCTGAATCTTCAACACGAAGACTGACCGGACAACGGCTGCAGCTAGCCTGCCACAGCTCCATCGAAAGACCTCAGCTGGGCTTTTCGAAGCGCAGGGCCCACGGGGCCCGCTGCTTGAGATGGCTGGCTGAACTGGTTGAGATGACTCCGCTTGACTTCCCCAAAACGGGTCGCACCAGGTGATGACCATGTAGCACCACTTGAGACAACCAGGAATCTGCCTGAAGAAGGCGGGCGGACTTCCTGGGCATGTTCTCGTGGCGACTTGCGGAACTTCTATGTGAGAAAGTGCTGGGTTCTTGGATGCCATGAAAGGCCCTGGTCCAGCATCAGCTGTTCCATTCCACCCAAGGGTCCGCCCTGTTGGGCTCTCGACGGGGTCGACCTGTTGTTGCCAAACAAATCCATACCCTCAAGACTATAGAAAAATCAGGGTCTTTAGGTGGCCCGAGTCAAGGAAATTCCTTTACTTCAGTCGGTCACATATGGCATATATTTGCTTACATTTACCCCTGAGACCAATGTTGGCAGTCCTATGGCAGTCCCAGACAGGTCGTGTCTGGGATACAGTCTTTGGACATCTTTGGACTTCTAGGGTGAGGAGAAAGGAGAACGATTCTGTGCAGCCAGCCTGGTCTCGAACTCCTCTGTCTCTGGAACCGCCCGGCTTCGCGAAAGACTCGCTCAGCTAGCATGGGGCCCCCAAAAACGTGCGTCTCTTCCACCTGCCGGCATGTATCAAACAGCATAAACACCGGGAAGATCCAGTGGGATACAATCCGAAAAGAAAACGCGACGTAGCGTGTCCAGTGTCCGTCGCCAAGTGGCATGGCGCCCCCGCATCGGACGCGGACCCGCCCGGACCGTCTTGGGCCGGCTGAAGGGAGATCAGATCAAGTTCGGCGGTTTTGGGACACATCACCTCTATGAGTCTATCCCTACAAGTCAAAGACCTCATTTTACTGGGGATGGTCATATAAAACCCATACTTAACGAGGTAAAAGACCAGGTTTTACTGGGTCTTTGGACTGGTAGGGTATGTATAGACACTTATGATAGCAGGGTCCTGGTACGGGTGCTGAAGGGCATGGTTTCTCCGTTTCCACCCCAATCATATATAATATGTTGTTTTTTGAACCTGTTTGAACCTGTTCCGCATTTCACAACTGCATCCGTGGGCTTTGTGGGAGCTTAGCTGCTATAAACATGAATAACATGTCAATAGTCTATATAATATATACTTTACCCCTAGGCGTCCAACAACCATTAATTTATAATAGGCTTTACCAAATCAACTAAGGATTTTACACTAGAAAAACCAGGTCAACCATTCTTTAAATGGTCTTGGAAATCTAGGGTTAAGTAAGGCCTGATGTTAAAAAGTGTTAAACTCATGCATTTCCCTAATTGCCTTGGAAGACCCCGCTGGATCCTCTGCGGACCAACCCCCCAAACGACCTGGTCAGGACGATGAAATCGACGTCGAAGGCTGAGCTTCCACGAGATGCGCCTCTGACAGAGTTGTTTGGTCTGTACCCCCCAGGACGCCGAGCCCTGAGCCGTTTCTCCCTAGAACATGGTTTGTTAAACCTTTGTCCAGCTGCATGGGGGGGGTTCCCCAAATTGCTTGAAACACAGCCGCTAGATGTATTTTTGGTGACGAGCATCACAGTGGTGAACCGCCCTTCTCCGACGACGGTTGTGTACCCTTGTGGTTGGGAGGATGCTGCGGGAGGATGCACCCTGCATAGGTTTGGCTCCAAGGGTTGCAAACTGTCATATCCTAATTCAGCAGAGATGTGCACTGTCTATTCAGCACGGATCATCTCATTCGCTCCTTGAAAAGCACCCGGTTCACCGAGAACCTGCCGGTTTCAAAGTATCAAGGTGGTGAAGCAAGCGGGTCTCAAGCAAGAAAGTGGATGAACAGGGCTGAAGTACATCCTGACAAGGTTCTTGGGGTGGGTTTGGAGGGTCTAAGTACCTTCTTAGAAGGTCTTTGGAGTCCTTGGGATTACCTGGAGTCTCAGTTCGTACCTCGGAAAATGGGTACCAGTATTATACTAGTACCTGTTTGTATGGGGGTCATGTCCCATTTTCTAAGGTACTTTGGAGGGTCCAGGTATGGGATTGCGCGGAAATGTCGCCCATCATACTCCAGCTGCACAGAACGCCACGCCAGCCAAGTCGACACATCTTTTTGGTCCGGAAGAGGCCCACAGTCTGCCCACACCGACGTCGCTTCTCAAGTTCACACTGCCTTCTCAGGGATTTGGAGGAGGATTGAACCTGCGTTTGAGCTCTCGTCGTTCGCAAAACCCTGCCCAGTGACTCGGTCAAGACCTATCTGTGATGAGTTGATGTCCTGCAATCCAATTGGGGAAACCAGCGACTATAATTGATGGTGAAACCAGTGATTACTATATAATTTTTGCTCTACAAACAGGTGGTTTTCCACTTCCATGTTGGTGAGTCAGAGGGTAAAAGGTGTAACACCATTGAGCCGGTGACTCTCCGCGAATGCAAGCCAAGCAGCTCTTCCTTGCCATGCCTCAGTTCTTATGAAGTGGACTTGCTGCAAAAAAATGGCACGTCCGTTAGACAATGTTTTGGGGTATGTCATGTCCAAGAATTGGCTTGAGGTAAACCTACAGGAAATTCTCTATAGTTGTGGGAGTGAAACAAGGGTTTCTTGCAGTAGATGTTCCCTCAAACCCATTCAGTGCCTAGTACTTTAAAAAGTTGAGCTGTTGGAGATTATTTAGGATTTTGCTCTTGAGATCTCCATCAGCCAACTTGAAAACACAGGTCTGCATCACTGCATTACAAACTTGACTATGCATCACTGTGAAAACTGGGTCTGCTCGGCCAAACCATCTGTGCTACGTCCCCAAATCCAATGATTCAATTCGCACTTCTGGGCAATACCACCTCCAGAAGCCGGATTCTCAGGAGACGTGTCCCAACATCTGATCTGCAGCCTCCAACCTGAAGCTGTGCCTGTGTGCCCGTGTGCCCCTCCCAGTCACCTGTCACCTGTGTCACCTCCAAGCGGCCAATCGCCCATCTTGAACTTCACTCCGCTGTGGATCAACCGATGTGCAAGGGCTTCGCCACAGGCCACCGCCGGGGTCAAGACACCGCCAGGGAAGGGCAGCTTTGGTTGGTCAAAGACCAAGGTCATGGCCTCAACGCCCAGACACGACCCGAACCTGGGACTGCCATGACGGACTGGCACCACCCCAACTGATTGGCATAGATGGCAGTCCCATTAGTCGTGTCTGGGCCATGAAAACCACATGGAGGGTGATCTCGGGGTCATGGCACTACCGGGTCACCTGGCGCCAGGCTACTGGCTGCTCGACTTACAGGTCTCCATTTCGACACTGGGGATGCGATTGGATGACCCACCATATCCCCACAGGGTCTTCTGACTGGTGCAGCTGAGGTGTGAATTGCGACCAATCTTCAGCATTCGGGACCTTGATGGGATGGATCGTTGGCTATAAGTCTAAGGCAGTCTTGGGATGCTGGGGTCTCATCCTCCGCATCAGGGCCATACTGGGCATGGTGTAAAGCCACCGCAGTGCCCAGACCCTTCTCCTTCCCAGGCGCCGTCTCCACCGCGATGCGCGCGGTCTCGAAATAGCCGTCTCGACCAATGAAGTCGCACTTGATCTCACGGCCCTTCTCCTTGGCGCCACGGGCCATGGAACCGGACCGAAGGTGGCCAAGTCTGGGAAAGGAAGAATTGCCAGTGAAAGGGATCCCTACAAGTCCAGTCTGACCCAGAACCTGGGTCCTTCACCTTCTTGAAGAGTGTGTTTTTTTGGGGGGTGTATGACCAACGTCAGCAAAATGAGGTCATTGACTCGTAGGAAATGTTTTATGTTTTGAGTCCCATCCAGTGAGTGGAGTCCACATTATGTGGCAGGGGCACCATTGGGAATACCCGGCTGCTCCAGTCG